GCCCCCCCCACCAGTAATTCTCCCGGAGAGAGGGAGAGGACGCCGGGCACCGGGCCCACGATGGAGCCCACAGAGCCCTGACAGCGGGGGGCCACACTGGTCAAGAGGGTGGGCCTAACACAGGGAAAACTACACTTTAATACACATTTAATCATGAGGTAACTGTTAGAAACATCTCCCTGGTCCCCGGCTTGAGCTTCAATCTCAGGATCCATGTATGTGTGATCCTCTCCAGAATGGAAGTAGTCATCACATACAGAGCATCAACTAGTTCCTGAACAGTGTCCTTCACATGCTGATATCCAAGAGAGGGAGTTACACAGTCACAAGATGGAGGAATACTGGTTCTTCTACGTAATCATACATCCTGTCATGAACAAAATAGTGACATTTTTCTCAAAATGTTGTTTTTTTCTGAAAATCTGAAAATCCTGATTTTTCTCAAAATCAAAAACATTCTGACTTTTTCTCAAAATTCTGACTTTTTCTCACTTTTTCACAAAATGTTGGCTTTTTTCTGAAATGTTGCCTTTTTTCCGAAAATCCTGACTTTTTCTGAAAATCCTGACTTTTTCTGAAAATTCTGACTTTTTCTGAAAATGCTGACTTTTTCTGAAAATCTAAAAATTCTGACTTTTTCACAAAATTCTAACTTTTTCACAAAATGTTGTTTTTTTTCTGAAAATCCTGACTTTTTCTCAAAATCAAAAAAAAATCTGACTTTTTCTAAAAATCTAAAAATTCTGACTTTCCAAAAATCTCAAAATTCTGACTTTTTCACAAAATGTTGGCTTTTTTCTGAAATGTTGCCTTTTTTCTGAAAATCCTGACTTTTTCTGAAAATCCTGACTTTTTCTGAAAATTCGGACTTTCCAAAAATCTCAAAATTCGGACTTTCTTGTGTGTTGCAGCTGAACGGACTCAGGAACGCTCTGAGGAATATTCTGGAGGTCCACGGAGGAGAGAGTCTGACTCCGGCCATGCAGCGGCGGATCTCTGAGTACAGTCTGGAGGTCAGGTGAGGACGGAAGCTTCCTGCAATTAAAATCTCTAAAATTCGGACTTTTTCTCAAAATCTCAAAATTCTGACTTTTTCTCAAAATCTCAAAATTCTGACTTTTTCTCAAAATCTCAAAATTCTGACTTTTCTGAATACTTTAAAATGTTAATAATCCCTCGTCCCCGGCTTGAGCTTGAATCTCAGGATCCATGTATCTGTGATCCTCTCCAGAATGGAAGTAGTCATCACATACAGAGCATCAACTAGTTCCTGAACAGTGTCCTTCACATGCTGATATCCAAGAGAGGGAGTTACACAGTCACAAGATGGAGGAATAGAAAGCAGTATTCAATGTTTACTTCAGATTAGCTCCACGTCAGAAATGAGCATGCTTGTCATATGTCTCTCTCCATAGAGGCTGAATCATCATGTTAATCACATAGCTATCATATGCCTCAAACAGTCCTGATGCTCTTCTAGGTAATCATACATCCTGTCATGTTCACAGCTACAGTTGGGATACCTTTGTTATCATGTTACTCTCATGTTGGAAGAGGACAGTTTACCTCTTGGTCTGGATGGCTTTGGGTTCGGAGCGAGCGGACCCTGTGGGGTTGAAAGCGAGGGGCCACTCCATCAGAGGATTCCTGCCATATCTGAAGGTGTACTGATCACACACCTCCACCCCCGGCAGCTACACACACACACACACACACACCACACACACACACACACACACACACACAAACACACACACACACACACCACACACACACACACACACACACACACACACACACACACACACCACACACACACACACACACACACACACACACACACACACACACACACACACACACACACACACACACACACACACACACACACACACACACACACACACAAAACATATTAACTTTAATAAACTTAAAAAACGCCTCCATTGGACTCCTTTGTTTACTTATGTAACATAATGACATCACAATGGAACAAGAGCACTCCTATTGGCTAGCGCTCCAACACATTGATAGGCTAAGGGGGCGGGACATCTCTAAGTGGTTAACCAATCACAACAGAGCCAGCCAGCTAACCAATCAGAGCAGACTGGGCTCTGGTTTCAGACAGAGGGTGAAAAGGTGCTTTTTTTATTTTTATGGAAAGTGTAAAAATTGACCAAGAATTGCAAATACAATTCTAAATGGCTGACTTCCGGTTGAGTTTACGATATGACGCCAAGAGGCTTTTTTGTGCGTCCCACCAGACTACATACACCTGCCAAATGTCATACCTGTAGGTGAAACCTGAGCAAGGGGCTACAGAGCTTTTTGCACAACACCATGTTAACAACCCAAAAAAAATCACAGTTTTCGACAGACCTGACAATCCTGTCAATGCTGTGTGTGTGTGTGTGTGTGTGTGTGTGTGTGTGTGTGTGTGTGTGTGTGTGTGTGTGTGTGTGTGTGTGTGTGTGTGTGTGTGTGTGTGTGTGTGTGTGTGTGTGTGTGTGTGACACTCACAGACTCGATGATCCTGGTCACAGCGGAGGTGGTCAGTCCGAACAGATCTTCTCCCTTCAGGTAAACCGGGAAAAGTTTCAGAGTCCCGCTGGAGACCCGGAGCTGAGACACTGGCTCCAGAACCTGATCCCACACCACTACACACACACACACACACACACACACACACACACACACACACAAAGAAAGACACACACACACACACACACACACACAAAGAAAGACACACACACACACACACACACACACACACACACACACACACACACACACACACACACACAGTAAATTAATGTTAATTTACATTTTCCACTTGTATATTTTCTATTTTATTTCTATTGAGATGTTTACATTTTGGATTATTTTAATTTCTCTAATGTACAATGCCTTGTCTTGTCATGCTGCTGCAACGCAATCGTTTCCCAAATTGGGATCAATAAAGAACTTTTTATCTGATCTTATTAGAGAAATCCGTGTTATGCATGCCCACTGCACCTCGCGGGAGCGCGCACAGCGTAAAGCAAAAACTCAGACATTTCAATGATCTGTTCGGCAAAGTTCGGTTTGGAAACGGTATCATTTCCTTTTGGGCGGGCATGCATAGCACGGCATAACACGAGAGCCTCGCTGCGGGGAAGCTTTGCCGCTGTTCTGAGTTTGTTCTAATCCGTCAAAATGACAGACTGCTTTCAGATTTTTCCGTCATAGACGGAATATATTCGGTTAACGCGACCTCTGGTTGAAATACAAATGTACAGTAAACTAAATATGAAGCAGGATATTATATATACATTCAGTGTGTTTGAGGAAGGGAATATTACATTTTAAATTGAATATAAATGTAAAGCGTGAGTAAAACATGATGTCACTTCCTGTTTACCTTTGGGGGAGGGTCCAGTGAGGATGATGTCATCGTATCCCTGCTCCTCCACCCTCACCTTGAAGAGCGGTCGGCCCTCCTGCTCCTCCACACAGCACAGGTACTTACAGCGCCTGGAAACAAACACACACACACCATGATGTCACAAACACCTGGACCAATCAGAGGAACGCTGCTCTCTGGGTCAACATACATATTTTCTTCTTTTTTTTTTTAATGCTATTTTATTTTGATTGCTAGTATTAGTCCTAGTAGTAGTAGTAGTATTAGCAGTAGTAGTAGTAGTATTAGTAGAAGTGATAGTATTAGCAGTAGTAGTAGTATTAGTCCTGGTAGTAGTAGTAGTAGTAGCACACACCTGGACCAATGAGAGGAACGCTGCTCTCTAGGTCACATTCTACAGATTACAGAGCATGCTGGGAGTTGTAGTTTCACCTGTTGCTGTTTCTCATGCTCCAGTAGATGCGATCGGCTCGATATCCGATGGGGAAAATGGCCGTTTTGTTGTGGAAGCGTCTCATCTGAAGGGGGAGGAGCCTCCCGATGGCGTGGAACAGCAGAGCCCCCACCCTGAAGGTGTGCGGGGCCCCCCCCCCTCTGAACCACCGCCGCGATCTGACGTGCCTCGTCTCGCTGCACGAACACGCGCCGAAACACCGCGAAACAGCGAAGCTCAGAGTCGTACGGGTCGCTTAGCAACAAGACGGGAGGGTCGCAGGGGAGGGGGGAGGAGCCAGAGGAGGAACAGCGGTCACTGGCCCCTCCACCTCCCGTGGCTCCTCCCACTGAGCGGGGCTTGTGGAAGTGGCACAGCATCGTCTTGTCCTGGAGGGGAGAGGGTGTTATTGTTTTGATACGTGTATAACAGTACATTTGACAGTGTGTGTGTGTGTGTGTGTGTGTGTGTGTGTGTGTGTGTGTGTGTGTGTGTGTGTGTGTGTACCTTGAAAAAGGTGCAGTGTGCCAGCAGAGCACAGCTGAAGTGATATGTGTTGGTGCAGCGCAGGCGGTTGCAGCCGCTGGTCGCTCCTCTCCTCTGACAGTGAGCGCAGCGCAGAGTGAGCGAGCGACGCAGGGCGAGCTCCACGTTGATCAGAGCGCCTGCCTGCGTCTCGTAAACCTCCGAGGACCAGAGGGCGCAGTTCAGATGTACCTGAGAGGGGGGGACAGGTGAGTTCAGTGGGATAGTCTATACATATTAACACCATGATGTAAGCTAATGTTGGGCTATTAAGGAACTACAGCACGGTCACATGACTTCACGTCACCACCGCTAAGCTAAAGGGGGCTAATGTTGGGCTATAAAGGAACTACAGCACGGTCACATGACTTCACGTCACTACCGCTAAGCTAAAGGAGGCTAATGTTGGGCTATAAAGGAACTACAGCACGGTTACATGACTTCACGTCACTACCGCTAAGCTAAAGGAGGCTAATGTTGGGCTATAAAGGAACTACAGCACGGTCACATGACTTCACGTCACTACCGCTAAGCTAAAGGTGGCTAATGTTGGCTATAAAGGAACTACAGCACGGTCACATGACTTCACGTCACCACCGCTAAGCTAAAGGAGGCTAATGTTGGGCTATAAAGGAACTACAGCACGGTCACATGACTTCAGGTCACCACCGCTAAGCTAAAGGAGGCTAATGTTGGGCTATAAAGGAACTACAGCACGGTCACATGACTTCACGTCACCACCGCTAAGCTAAAGGCGGCTAATGTTGGGCTATAAAGGAACTACAGCTAGGTCACATGACTTCACGTCACCACCGCTAAGCTAAAGGAGGCTAATGTTGGGCTATAAAGGAACTACAGCACGGTCACATGACTTCACGTCACCACCGCTAAGCTAACGGAGGCTAATGTTGGGCTATAAAGGAACTACAGCACGGTCACATGACTTCACGTCACCACCGCTAAGCTAAAGGAGGCTAATGTTGGGCTATAAAGGAACTACAGCACGGTCACATGACTTCACGTCACCACCGCTAAGCTAAAGGAGGCTAATGTTGGGCCCTCTAACTCACCCAGAGGTCCAGGTCCAGGTTCAGGAGTCTTGCCGGTCCGTCAGTACATCCGTCTCCCTGCTGGTTACAGAAGCAGCATCTCCGCTCGTCTTTAGGGAAAGGGTCCGGAAGGAGACACACCCCCAACTTCTTCAGGAGAACGTCCACTTCCTCCTCCGTTGGCATGGAAACCGCCTCGTTAGGGGTGCAAGGGCCTCTGGGTAAAGAGAGACAAACAGAGTGATGCTATCAGGCTGAGCTAAGGCTAATATGATTCTAACAGGCCTGAAAAATACTCCTAAAATGTACAAAAAAGCTTGTTTGTGTGTAGTGTTTAAAAAATGTGAAAAAACGTTGGAAAAATATCCAATAATCTTTAAAAAAGTAAAAAATGCTAACCTGCAGAGTGCTAAGTGCTAACATGCTAGATGCTATGCTAACCTGCAGAGTGCTAAGTGCTATCATGCTAGATGCTATGCTAACCTGCAGAGTGCTATCATGCTAGATGCTATGCTAACCTGCAGAGTGCTAAGTGCTAACATGCTAGATGCTATGCTAACCTGCTGAGCGTGATGTTGAAGCTCCACCTCCTCCACCTGCAGCACTTCGTCCTTTTCCCGGAGCGATTAGACTCCTCCCCCCCAGGTACACCTCGGGGGCGGGGCTTCAGCTTCACCTTCACCTGGGAACCAATCACAGAGTCTCATAAATCAATCAACTAATCAAGATTCAAGGCCTTATCATCATGACAACAAAAACAGAAATCAGCTGTTCCTTTAGCCACACCCACCTTGAGGCTGTCCATGCGGGGGCGTGTCTCCGTGGTGATGGCGGCGGCGGGGGGGAAGGAGAGAGGAGGTGAGGAAGAGGGGGTAGGAGAGGAAGGAGGGAGGAGGAGGGAGTGAACTGCGATGGTGGACATGTTGCTGGTGTACTGATGCACCCTGCAGGGGGTGGGGTGCTCAGGGCCCGCCAGCATGAGGGGGGTCTGAGAAAAACAAATATTCATTATTACGAGTTTTCTAAAAATGTGATCAACCAATTAACCAAATAGAGATTAATTTAAGTGTTTAAAACCAATTAGAGGTTCAAACCAATTAGAGGTTCGTCCCAGGTGAGTCTCACCTTGTTCGTGGCTCTGCTCTGCACGTCGGAGTTGAACAGAGACGAGCAGTTGGTGCTGCAGAACATCATGCGGGTCGCTCGGGGCTGACCCTCCTGAAACACACACACACACAGTCACTTTCTGTCGGCCATATTTGTAGTCCACTCTACCATATGATACGATGATACTTTAATGGTCAGATCCACTCTGAAATGCTCCTTGCATCCCAGCAGCTCCATGTGGAACATCAACAGTCCCAGAGGATGCTGTTGGACAGCTGGTTATTATGGTCTGTGAGTCAGGAAGTCTCTGACAGGGTTCACCTTCATCCTGCCACCAACCTGTTTGATCTCCTTGCTGATGCGCACTCCATTTCCCAGAAGCACCTTGCAGTAGCTGCAGCACTGAGTCCTGGCAGCAGCAGAGGGGACGCCATGTTGGATGTAGTCCATTTGGATACCTGGACACACACACACACACACACACACACACACGTTCTTGTGTGTTCTAATTTTCGAGTGTGCAGGTAATAATGGAAAGTGTGTACATATTGCAGAGTGTACAAACCAGTGTTCCCAGTAGCTGGTGGGGGTCTCTGCATTCTGCTTACTGCTGAACCCTACACACACACACACACACACACACACACACGTTAATAACCAAGAGAGGCGAAGTTACGATGCCAATTTTAACGGTGATTAACGAAGTCACAACTGTCGAGCAGCAAAGGAATATGGAGTTACTGAGAGTAACGTGAGAAGATGGCGAGCCCAAAAAGACCGCTTTAAAATGCAAACAGTCAGAGGAAAGCTGTCCGCAAAACTTTTTCAAATAAAATAAATTCTTTATCAAAACAAGATTTGGTCTTCAAAACGAGGGGTCGTCTTATATTCGGGTCGATACGGCACTATGTGAATGCAGTGTTATGTAACCGAAGTATTTGGTCTCACCTGAGGGAGGGGCACCCGGACCCCGGCCAGCAGGGCGAGAGCATTGCATTCTGGGCCGGGGGGTCCGGGGGGGCGGCTCAACTGGTAGTCGGTGGGGACGGGGACACGAAGAAGCTCCGCCACCGCCGCCATGACATCTGCAACACTCTGAAGACACACAGGGTTATATCACGGGGTCAGAAAATATATACAAAATAATAATAATAATACAATAAAATAAATAATAATAAAATAAATAATAATACAATAAAATAAATAATAATGTTGGGTACATTTCTGGAATATTTGTACATGAACATGTATTTTTAAAAATATAAATAATATATACATATACAGTAAAGTATACCTGCGCTGCGACGGGGTTGAGGGTGATGGCGATGGTAACCAGATCAGTGTTGGAGCAGGGAGGAGCCTGATGGTGAGGCTCCACCTTCACTTCCTGCTTCACTGCTGAGCCTACACACACACACACACCTGTTATCTTGTATATATTGATCGTTGTGCTTTTATTTATGTCTTAATGTGTGCATATGTATATAAATATTTGGGATAGTGGGAAACGGTATTTCAATCACTCTGTCTGTACACACACACACACACACACACACACACAACTTCACTGTGACCTAATCTAACACTGACCTTTCCCCCAGGCGCAGGGCATTATGGGTAATGTAGGTGATGGGCAGGGCGATGGAGGCTCCAGTTTGATGAAGGAGAGGTCGGGGTATCGGCTGACCTCAGCGTCGCTCTCTGGAGACGAAGAGGGAACGTAACCTTCTGGAGAACTGCGGCCCGACGAGTCCACCCTGAAAACACACCAAGAACATGTAGTCAGAAAATATTATATATTAAAAAAAACAATATTAAAAGTAAATAAAGTTTCTCACTAAAAAGTACATTTTAATGATGGCATTTGAACTCATCATCATACCCAATGATTACTGAAAGGAGCCTGAACGCACCATGATGGCATTTGAACTCATCATGCATACCCAATGATTACTGACAGGAGCCTGAACGCACCATGATAGCATTTGAACTCATCATCATACCCAATGATTACTGACAGGAGCCTGAACGCACCATGATGGCATTTGAACTCATCATCATACCCAATGATTACTGACAGGAGCCTGAACGTACCATGATGGCATTTGAACTCATCATCATACCCAATGATTACTGAAAGGAGCCTGAACGCACCATGATGGCATTTGAACTCATCATCATACCCAATGATTACTGACAGGAGCCTGAACGCACCATGATGGCATTTGAACTCATCATCATACCCAATGATTACTGACAGGAGCCTGAACGTACCATGATGGCATTTGAACTCATCATCATACCCAATGATTACTGACAGGAGCCTGAACGCACCATGATGGCATTTGAACTCATCATCATACCCAATGATTACTGAAAGGAGCCTGAACGCACCATGATGGCATTTGAACTCATCATGCATACCCAATGATTACTGACAGGAGCCTGAACGCACCATGATAGCATTTGAACTCATCATCATCATCATGCCCAATGATTACTGACAGGAGCCTGAACGCACCATGATGGCATTTGAACTCATCATCATCATACCCAATGATTACTGACAGGAGCCTGAACGCACCATGATGGCATTTGAACTCATCATCATCATACCCAATGATTACTGAAAGGAGCCTGAACGCACCATGATGGCATTTTAACTCATCATCATGCCCAATGATTACTGACAGGAGCCTGAACGCACCATGATGGCATTTGAACTCATCATCATACCCAATGATTACTGAAAGGAGCCTGAACGCACCATGATGGCATTTGAACTCATCATCATGCCCAATGATTACTGACAGGAGCCTGAACGCACCATGATGGCATTTGAACTCATCATCATACCCAATGATTACTGACAGGAGCCTGAACGCACCATGATGGCATTTGAACTCATCATCATACCCAATGATTACTGACAGGAGCCTGAATGCACCATGATGGCATTTGAACTCATCATCATACCCAATGATTACTGAAAGGAGGCTGAACGCACCATGATGGCATTTGAACTCATCATCATACCCAATGATTACTGACAGGAGCCTGAACGCACCATGATGGCATTTGAACTCATCATCATACCCAATGATTACTGACAGGAGCCTGAACGCACCATGATGGCATTTGAACTCATCATCATACCCAATGATTACTGAAAGGAGCCTGAACGCACCATGGTGCAACAATCCGTCTGTTTACCTGAGTTCCTCCTGGTTGTTGTGGGGGGGCGTCGGCAGGGAGGCGGGGACATCGACTGTTTTGGAGGCGTGGTTTAAACCCAGAAGCTCCTCCCCTTTCTGCTTCACACCTTTCACTGAAAACAGACGAAGAAGAAGAAGGAGGATCAGCTGTGTTCTTCTTCTGCTGCTTTAATAAAAAGCGTGACTTTTCCTTATTTACCCTCCTTCCTCTGCAGCTCTTCAGTCGAGGCGAAGCCGTTGATGTGTTTCTGTCGGGGGGGCGGTGGGGGGGTGGGAGGCAGCGAGGCCGGGGGGGTGGGGGGGTTACTCAGGTTGTTCTGCTGGAGGGGGAAAGATGGAGAAGAGAGGAATTAATACATAGATATCACACACACACACATATTTATTAACTCTCTATTCCTCTTAAAGTGTACGAGTATTAGTGTATTATTACTGCAGTATTACAGTAGTTGTGGTGTAGTAGTACCTTGTATATGAGAGTAGAGTAGTAGTAGTACCTTGTATATGAGAGTAGAGTAGTAGTAGTACCTTGTATATGAGAGTAGAGTAGTAGTAGTACCTTGTATATGAGAGTAGAGTAGTAGTAGTACCTTGTATATGAGAGTAGAGTAGTAGTAGTACCTTGTATATGAGAGTAGAGTAGTAGTAGTACCTTGTATATGAGAGTAGAGTAGTAGTAGTACCTTGTATATGAGAGTAGAGTAGTAGTAGTACCTTGTATATGAGGGTCGAGTAGTAGTCGGTGACTCCCTCCAGGCAGCCGTTCCCAAAGGAGCCTGTAAGTCTGGACTCTGAGCCCAGAGAGGAGCTGCCGTACGGGGGGAAGAGGTTCAGATCTCCCCCCAGAACAGGCTCCATGAGGGGGAGAACAGACAGCTGAGAGAGGGGAGAGAGAGGGGAGAGAGAGGCATTAATACAGAACAATCTGTTCCTCCAAATATTGTATCTACTAATAGAGATGGCAAAAGTACACACATCCTTCACTCAGGTAGAAGTACAGATACTCGTGTTTAAAAATACTCTGGTGAAAGTAGAAGTACTGACTAAACTTCTTTACTCAAGTCAAAGTAAAGAGGCTTTGAAATGTACTTCAGTAAAAAGTACCCATAACTAGCAGCTGTTTTAAAGAGTACCTGACCTCCCTTTATATTAATAGAACAATAATGTCATTGTTAGCTAATGAATGTTTCCATGCTGAACAACGGCAACATGACAACGTTTTCATTGGTCCCTCTTCTTTAGAGAAGACCAGGAAATGATGGATACACGGATCGTGTTCAAATCAATAGGCACGCAATAACTCTAAATAATAATGATCACGCCACCAAACACACATTCAAACTAAAGGAACCAGCCTGTTTGGGAAATGTGAGAAGTAGAAAGTACAGGTATTTGGGTTCAACATGTAAGAAGTAGAAAGTACAGGTATTTGTGTTCAACATGTAAGAAGTAGAAAGTACAGGTATTTGGGTTCAACATGTAAGAAGTAGAAAGTACAGGTATTTGGGTTCAACATGTAAGAAGTAGAAAGTACAGGTATTTGGGTTCAACATGTAAGAAGTAGAAAGTACAGGTATTTGTGTTCAACATGTAAGAAGTAGAAAGTACAGGTATTTGGGTTCAACATGTAAGAAGTAGAAAGTACAGGTATTTGGGTTCAACATGTAAGAAGTAGAAAGTACAGGTATTTGGGTTCAACATGTAAGAAGTAGAAAGTTCAGGTATTTGGGTTCAACATGTAAGAAGTAGAAAGTACAGGTATTTGAGTTCAACATGTAAGAAGTCAAAGTGAAAAGTCTTCAGAAAAATAAGTAGTGGAGTAAAGTACTGATACCAGAAACATGTACTTAAGTACAGTAATGAAGTATCTGTACTCCACTACTTCTCTCCTCTGTTTATTAATGTAAATATCACATATTTTCCTGGAAAGACTGACCTACTGTCTAAGGACTAAAGCAGAGATCTGGGAACAACGCTGGGAAATATGGACAGTGTACAAGGAAAAAGAAAGACTGAAGAGGGCCCTCAGAGAGGCCTAAGATATTGTAAAAAATAATATTTGAAAACATTAAAAAAAAACATTTTCTTTTTAAAATATTTGTTTAGTTATATTTTTAATTAGTTTTACCAAAATAACTTGATTTAATTGTATTTAAAATAACATTTCCAAATAAATAAATCCTTCGAATCTGCCTGTTCAGTTTCTGTTGGAATGTGAAGGGTTAAATGAAAGAAGCTCGTCTGGCCCTCTCTGCGATTCAGAGGGCCCGCTATAGTAACTGAACGAGAGAGTAATGTCAAATGACAGAACAGTTGACCAATCATATCTTCCCTCTAAATGGGTGGGCTTTATTATCGCTGGCTTTATGACAAGTTCCGCCCGCTGTGAGGTTTATGCATGTGTGTTATAGAGAGGTGCAGTGACGCGTCCTGAAACCCGGAAGCTGCGCTCCGGTTCCCTCGAGGGTTTTGGAGAAGAGCTGGAAATAAGGTCTGTGGAACGAACCTGTTTGATAAATGCACGTTTTGTTCAGCCGGATAATATCCACATGTCTACCCTACTTTTATCATTTTGGAATCATCAATCAAATCGATAGATTTATGATCGATGGATTGATGGCTCACGTCAGCGATAGTGAGGGCTAGGTATAAAAGTCACGGCTCGCCACTGCTTTCATGTCTGCACCAAAACACCAAGTCACATTCCTCGTATGTGTCAACCTGCCTGGTGATAAACCTGACTCTGATTCTGAATAGTTTCTCAGTCACAATATGATCTAGTATCCCCTCTACCTGTCGCAGGTGAGTCCCCACCAGCTCGGAGGAGGATGAGGAGGAGAGCAGCTCCTCTTCTTTCTTCCTCCTCTTGTTTTTCGGAGGTCCTTTCTCTGGTCGGGCGAGTCTCTTACAGCGGGGGGGCTTCTTCCTGCCGGAGGGGTCCAGAGAGTCGGGGGAGTCCATCTACAGGAACACACAGGGGTTAATAATAATAAATAATAATAACTTAGATTTATATAGCGCCTTTCAGGGGACCCAAGGTCGCTTTACAGAATTGTTTTTATTAATTAACATATTTAGCTTTTTTATCATTATTATAATTATTTATTAATATTAATAATTATTTTAATGATGTATCTATAAATATTTTTAACCATTATTTGTGTTATTTTATTAATAATTGTAATTGATCTTTTTATTATAATTTATTTACTAGTATTTTTAATTATAATTTATATTATTATATATTTATACATATTGTTGTATTATAATTATTTATTTATTAAAATGATTAATTATTGAAATTATGTATTTGATATATTTTATTATTAATTATATTATTATTTATTTATTAGCATTTTTAATGATCATTGTATTAATATGTTTAACTATGATTATGATCTTTTTATTGATCAATGATCTCTCGATGCTCCTCACCACGTTGCCATGCATCCCTGGTCCCTCCTCCTCCTCAGATCGGACGCTGTCATTGGACGGCAGGCGTCTGGCGGCCCCTGGTGATTGGAGGGTTTCAGGGGAGGTCTTTTCTTTCAGCAGGTGACGGAGCAGCTCTTTACCTCCGTCTCCCCCACAATGGAGGGGAGAGGGGGAGAAAAACCCATCCCCCCCCCCCACAGTCCTCCATCTTTATCACTCCCCCCCCACAAGATCCTCCCTCCACTCGCTCCTGCTGCAGGGGGAGACACGGGGTTAATATAGAAAACTCTTTAAAGTTGAAAAAAACGTTGTAATGTTAAGATAAAAAACATGTAATTTAATTTAAATAACGGGGATATGACCTCACCTTGACCTCCATGCGACCTAAAGGGGCGGGGCCTCTCTGGGTGACGGACAGCTGCCTCTCCAGCTCTGAGGAGGGGGCGAGCCCAGATAGGGCGGGGCTTACAGAGAAGCTGAACTCCGATTGGTCCAGGCTGGCTCGAGGGGGCGTGGAGCAGGAAGTGTCGGACCTGGCGGGAGTGGGCGGGGCTGTGATGTCATCAGAAGACAAAGGGGTGCGGCTTCTCTTCTTCTGCCTGTCGTCGGGCAGAACATCGGAGTAAAGTGACATCATGGAGGAGGAGGGGGGGGGGAACAGCTGGGGTCTGGAGGGGGGGGGCGACTGCAGGAAGTCCTGCGGTAACTCTGAGCTGAAGAAGGGCATCTGAGAGAGACTGCCCTCGCCCCCCCGAGGACCTGAAGGGACTCCAACTCCCAGCATGCCTTGCTGCTCCTGCTCCAGTCTCTGCTGCATGGCCCGGTGACGCTCCACCTGACGAGGGGGCAGCGGGGTGATTAGTTATTAACACTTTATTAATCCTTAAACTCTGCAATATGAGGGTTATTGTGATGTCATCTCTTTATACACTATGATCATGACTGTGTGTGTGTGTGTGTGTGTTTCACAGTTTTCTCAGTGTGTGTGTGTGAGTGAGTGTGTGTGTCTGAGTGTGTGTTTCACAGTTTCCTCAGTGTGTGTGTGTGAGTGAGTGTGTGTGTGTCTGAGTGTGTGTGTGTGTGTGTTTCAGTTTCCTCAGTGTGTGTGAGTGTGTGTGTGTGTGAGTGTTTCACAGTTTTCTATGTGTGTGTGTGTGTGTGTGTGTGTGTGTGTGTGTGTGTGTGTGTGTGTGTGTTTCACAGTTCCCTCAGTGTGTGTGAGTGAGTGTGTGTGTGTGTGTTTCACAGTTTCCTCAGTGTGTGTGTGTGTGTTTTACAGTTTTCTATGTGTGTGTGTGTGTGTGTGTCACAGTTTTCTCAGTGTGTGTGTGTGTGTGTGTGTGTGTGTGTGTGTGTGTGTGTGTCACAGTTTTCTCAGTGTGTGTGTGTGTGTGTCACCTCCTGCATCAGCTGCACTCTCTGTCTCTCCTGTTGCTCTCTCAGTCTCTCTCTCCTCTCTCTCTCCTGAAAGCCTTCACTGAACGGGTTGTTGTCGTCAAAGTTCACCTGCAAAAAACACAGCGTTCAGAAAACATGACATTAACACCTGTTGGAGCTATTTATAGATTTGTATTTCTTAATAGTCTAACATTTATCTCTTGTTGTTTGTATTACATTTCAAGTTTCACTACAGGTGCGTTACCTGAGAAGCTCCATTGGCCCCTGCTGCTGCGGGTGGGGGACCCCGTGGCCCTGCAGTGATGGGAGGAGTCTGTGTTACTGAGGGGATTTTAGGCTGGGAGAGAGGCATCTGAGGAGGCATCTGATTGGGCATCTGAGGAGGCATCTGAGGGGGCATCTGAGGGGGCATCTGAGGGGGCATCTGAGGGGGCATCTGAGGAGGCACCTGAGGAGGCATTTGATTGGGCATCTGAGGAGGCATCTGAGTAGGCATCTGATTGGGCATCTGAGGAGGCATTTGAGGGGGCATCTGATTGGGCATCTGAGGAGGCCTTTGAGGGGGCATCTGATTGGGCATCTGAGGAGGCATCTGATTGGGCATCTGAGTAGGCATCTGAGGAGGCATCTGATTGGGCATCTGAGGAGGCCTTTGAGGGGGCATCTGATTGGGCATCTGAGGAGGCATCTGATTGGGCATCTGAGTAGGCATCTGAGGAGGCATCTGATTGGGCATCTGAGGAGGCATTTGAGGGGGCATCTGATTGGGCATCTGAGGAGGCATCTGAGGGGGCATCTGATTGGGCATCTGAGGAGGCATCTGAGGGGGCATCTGAGGAGGCATCTGAGGGGGCATCTGAGGGGGCATCTGATTGGACAGAATAAGAGGCATTCTCTGCCCCAAAACCCCCGGAGCCCCGACGCCCCCCGGGGTCCAACCAGGGGTGTTTGGTCTGAGTGTTTGTACGGGGTTTCCTGGCAAGGGCAGCAGGGGCGTCTGTGGGGGGCCGCCGGCTCTCTGGTGTTTACTCCTGTAGTCCTCGATCAACTCAGAGTGATCTTTCTGCTGCTTACGGATCTAAAAACACACAACAACAAAAAACACACTCAAGTCAAATCAGCCGTTTCTGATGAGTCACTGTTAGTGTAGTGTTTCTGATGAGTCACTGTTAGTGTAGTGTTTCTGATGAGTCACTGTTAGTGTTTCTGCTGAGTCACTGTTAGTGTAGTGTTTCTGCTGAGTCACTGTTAGTGTTTCTGCTGAGTCACTGTTAGTGTAGTGTTTCTGCTGAGTCACTGTTAGTGTTTCTGCTGAGTCAGTGTTAGTGTTTCTGCTGAGTCAGTGTTAGTGTTTCTGCTGAGTCAGTGTTAGTGTTTCTGCTGAGTCACTGTTAGTGTTTCTGCTGAGTCACTGTTAGTGTAGTGTTTCTGCTGAGTCACTGTTAGTGTTTCTGCTGAGTCACTGTTAGTGTAGTGAGTGGTGTTTCTGCTGAGTCAGTGTTAGTGTAGTGAGTGGTGTTTCTGCTGAGTCAGTGTTAGTGTAGTGAGTGGTGTTTCTGCTGAGTCACTGTTAGTGTAGTGAGTGGTGTTTCTGCTGAGTCAGTGTTAGTGTAGTCAGTGTTAGTGTTTCTGCTGAGTCAGTGTTAGTGTAGTCAGTGTTAGTGTAGTCAGTGTTAGTGTTTCTGCTGAGTCAGTGTTAGTGTAGTCAGTGTTAGTGTTTCTGCTGAGTCAGTGTTAGTGTAGTCAGTGTTAGTGTAGTCTGTGTTAGTGTAGTCAGTGTTAGTGTTTCTGCTGAGTCACAGTTATTTTCTACCTGCTCCAGCTGTTTCTGCAGCGCCCCCTGCTGTTCGCTGACGCTCCTCATGGTGTTGGCGTCCTCCTCGGTGAGTTCTCTTCCCGCCTTCCTGGCCGTCCTCTGTTTGGCCGACAGAGACTTCTTGGTCTTCCTGTGCGCCGCCATCTTCTCCTCCAGGAGGCGCTGTTGCATCTGCAGGAGGCGCTGCGTCTCCCCGAGCCACTCCTCGTACTGCCGTCTCTGAGCCTCGTCTGAAATACACCATAACACAGGGGGTGTCCAAACTTTTTTCACCAAGGGCCACATACAGAAACATATACGAAGGCCTGGGCCACTCTAAATAAAGGTTGTGATGAATGCACTCACTGCTGAAGCCCGGGCTGAAGTTGGGGGGGTTCGGTCTCACCAGCCGGGGGGGCAGCTTCCCGTCCTGACAGGAAGAGGAAACACACACTTCCTGTTTACTTGAACTCACTTTACAACCAGGAAGCACTTTGCATCTTAAATACTTAGGCTGCAGTCGAATAGTCCAAAAATCAGCTCCTATCGTCTATCCCTGTCGTCTATTCCTATCGTCTATCCCTATCGTCTATCCCTATCGTCTATCCCCGTCGTCTATCCCCGTCGTCTATCCCCAACGTCTATCCCTATCGTCTATCCCTATCGTCTATCCCTGTCGTCTATCCCTATCGTCTATCCCTATCGTCTATCCCTAACGTCTATCCCCGTCGTCTATCCCCAACGTCTATCCCTATCGTCTATCCCTATCGTCTATCCCTGTCGTCTATTCCTATCGTCTATCCCTATCGTCTATCCCTATCGTCTATCCCCGTCGTCTATCCCCGTCGTCTATCCCCGTCGTCTATCCCCGTCGTCTATCCCCGTCGTCTATCCCCGTCGTCTATCCCCGTCGTCTATCCCCGTCGTCTATCGTCTATCCCTGTCGTCTATCCCTATCGTCTATCCCTATCGTCTATCGTCTATCCCTATCGTCTATCCCTATCGTCTATCGTCTATCCCTATCGTCTATCCCTATCGTCTATCCCTAACGTCTATCCCCGTCGTCTATTCCCGTCGTCTAACCCTATCGTCTATCCCTATCGTCTATCCCTATCGTCTATCGTCTATCCCTATCGTCTATCCCTATCGTCTATCCCTATCGTCTATCCCTATCGTCTATCGTCTATCCCTATCGTCTATCCCTATCGTCTATCCCTATCGTCTATCGTCTATCCCTATCGTCTATCCCTATCGTCTATCCCTATCGTCTATCCCTATCGTCTATCCCTATCGTCTATCCCCAACGTCTATCCCCGTCGTCTATTCCCGTCGTCTAACCCTATCGTCTATCCCAACGTCTATCCCCGTCGTCTATCCCCGTCGTCTATCCCCGTCGTCTATCCCCGTCGTCTATCCCCGTCGTCTATCGTCTATCCCTGTCGTCTATCCCCGTCGTCTATCCCCGTCGTCTATCCCCGTCGTCTATCGTCTATCCCCGTCGTCTATCCCCGTCGTCTATCCCCGTCGTCTATCCCCATCGTCTATCCCCATCGTCTATCGTCTATCCCTATCGTCTATCGTCTATCCCTATCGTCTGTCGTCTATCCCTGTCGTCTATCCCTGTCGTCTATCCCTATCGTCTATCCCTATCGTCTATCCCTATCGTCTATCCCTATCGTCTATCCCTATCGTCTATCCCTATCGTCTATCCCTATCGTCTATCGTCTATCCCTATCGTCTATCCCTGTCGTCTATCCCTGTCGTCTATCCCTATCGTCTATCCCTATCGTCTATCGTCTATCCCTGTCGTCTATCCCTGTCGTCTATCCCCGTCGTCTATCCCCATCGTCTATCCCTATCGTCTATCCCTATCGTCTATCGTCTATCCCTGTCGTCTATCCCCGTCGTCTATCCCTATAGTCTATCCCTATAGTCTATCCCTATCGTCTATCCCTAACGTCTATCCCTATCGTCTATCCCTATCGTCTATCGTCTATCCCTGTCGTCTATCCCTATCGTCTATCCCTATCGTCTATCCCTATCGTCTATCCCTGTCGTCTATTCCTATCGTCTATCCCTATCGTCTATCCCTATCGTCTATCCCTAACGTCTATCCCCGTCGTCTATCCCCGTCGTCTATCCCCGTCGTCTATCCCCGTCGTCTATCCCCGTCGTCTATCCCCGTCGTCTATCGTCTATCCCTGTCGTCTATCCCTATCGTCTATCCCTATCGTCTATCGTCTATCCCTATCGTCTATCCCTATCGTCTATCGTCTATCCCTATCGTCTATCCCTATCGTCTATCCCTAACGTCTATCCCCGTCGTCTATTCCCGTCGTCTAACCCTATCGTCTATCCCTATCGTCTATCCCTATCGTCTATCGTCTATCCCTATCGTCTATCCCTATCGTCTATCGTCTATCCCTATCGTCTATCCCTATCGTCTATCCCTATCGTCTATCCCCAACGTCTATCCCCGTCGTCTATTCCCGTCGTCTAACCCTATCGTCTATCCCAACGTCTATCCCCGTCGTCTATCCCCGTCGTCTATCCCCGTCGTCTATCCCCGTCGTCTATCCCCGTCGTCTATCGTCTATCCCTGTCGTCTATCCCCGTCGTCTATCCCCGTCGTCTATCCCCGTCGTCTATCGTCTATCCCCGTCGTCTATCCCCGTCGTCTATCCCCGTCGTCTATCCCCGTCGTCTATCCCCATCGTCTATCCCCATCGTCTATCGTCTATCCCTATCGTCTATCGTCTATCCCTATCGTCTGTCGTCTATCCCTGTCGTCTATCCCTGTCGTCTATCCCTATCGTCTATCCCTATCGTCTATCCCTATCGTCTATCCCTATCGTCTATCCCTATCGTCTATCCCTATCGTCTATCCCTATCGTCTATCGTCTATCCCTATCGTCTATCCCTGTCGTCTATCCCTGTCGTCTATCCCTATCGTCTATCCCTATCGTCTATCGTCTATCCCTGTCGTCTATCCCTGTCGTCTATCCCCGTCGTCTATCCCCATCGTCTATCCCTATCGTCTATCCCTATCGTCTATCGTCTATCCCTGTCGTCTATCCCCGTCGTCTATCCCTATAGTCTATCCCTATAGTCTATCCCTATCGTCTATCCCTAACGTCTATCCCTATCGTCTATCCCTATCGTCTATCGTCTATCCCTGTCGTCTATCCCTATCGTCTATCCCTATCGTCTATCCCTATCGTCTATCCCTATCGTCTATCGTCTATCCCTATCGTCTATCCCTATCGTCTATCCCTATCGTCTATCCCTGTCGTCTATCCCTATCGTCTATCCCTGTCGTCTATCCCTGTCGTCTATCCCTATCGTCTATCGTCTATCCCTGTCGTCTATCCCTATCGTCTATCCCTGTCGTCTATCCCTGTCGTCTATCCCTATCGTCTATCCCTAACGTCTATCCCTATCGTCTATCCCTATCGTCTATCGTCTATCCCTGTCGTCTATCCCTATCGTCTATCCCTATCGTCTATCCCTATCGTCTATCCCTATCGTCTATCGTCTATCCCTATCGTCTATCCCTATCGTCTATCCCTATCGTCTATCCCTGTCGTCTATCCCTATCGTCTATCCCTGTCGTCTATCCCTGTCGTCTATCCCTGTCGTCTATCCCTGTCGTCTATCCCTGTCGTCTATCCCTATCGTCTATCCCTATCGTCTATCCCTATCCCTATCGTCTATCCCTATCGTCTATCCCCGTCGTCTATCCCCGTCGTCTATCCCCATCGTCTATCCCCATCGTCTATCCCTATCGTCTATCCCTTGACCTCTGAGTGAAAGGTCACGGGGTTAAGGGATAGTGGATAGGAGAATTCAAAAGGACTTAGGAGAAGAGACTGCGGTACTTTAGAGAATCGACTGCACTTCCACTATCCGACGTGTTTATGATGCGCCAGCGGACGTCATGAATGTGCGCCTGCTGCTGCTGTGGGGAAACTATGGAAACTACAGTTTTCTATACAGCGGACTACAACATGGATGTTTAATAAGAACGAGGGACTACTGTAAACTCATCTAGAGACTCTGCACCGTGCTCTGATGCTGTTATGCTTTATGAACGGGGACAACAGAGAAACATATTCTTCATGACCAAAGTTGGAATTGAAATAAAAAAGGAAAGTGAAACTTATGCTCGTCACCCTCTCCCTCCGGTCCACATTAATACAAATGATCCCAATACGTATAATTGTATGAAAAGATCTTCAAATCAATACAAATGTATTTATTATAAACGTTAGTCCTTAACATCTATCACTGTGTATATCACCATTCAAACATCTTTTAAAAGTTGAACAAACCCCACACAGCTCATTAAAGACTGTGAAATGTTGACTTTATTTGATCATTTCAGTAAAAACTAACGTTCATATTTCTCTTTTAGATTATAATACTGATGAACGTTCAAAACAAAGCACTTTGGCAACTTACCACATACGTTTTAAAATGCTTAATAAGCACCGTAACTTTCATGATATCGTTTCTCGTTCATAATCGGAATATTCCCTCGCCTATAAATGCCGCGGCTGCAAGGCATTGTGGGGCAGCACTTTCTCCTCTCCTTTAGGTTAGGGAGGTCCAGTGGTTCCTAAGCTAAAGGAGGTTATAAAGGAAGTTTGAAACCTCCTTTCCTTTCATCTAGAGAATTGGAGCGGCTCTTATCATGGCTGCCACTGAGGGACTTCGGGTCATTTCACTCCGTTAGGAAGGTTCCTGAGCTAAACGGACTATTCGACCGCAGCCCCAGTAAACACACTTTATATCTGCTGTAACTCACCTGCAGCACCATGTGGGGAGGGGGCGCCTCAGGACCCGGGGCCACGGGGGCCACAGGGACCACCGGAGCAACCGGGGGTACTGGAGCCTGCTGGAACCTGACACACACACACATTCAATAATTAATATACAGAAAAAGGTGTATACATTTTGCATCTATTAAAGTGCACGGAGAGACATTTATGTCAACAGGAGAAGCAGATACAGTGACACTGGCCAGCTCTGTTGTGATTGGTCAATGGCTAAGAGATGTCCCGCCTCCTTACGTACAATGTGTTGGAACGCTAGCCAATAGGAGTGCGAGTGTTACATAGTGATGTCACTTTTTAAACTTGATGTTAAAACTACAGGAAAGGGAAACCCCAAAACACAGCATGGGGTCTCTTTAATTTCAACCATCATTTGTCTAGAAGGGATTTTTATGTATTTGTTCAGATCTCACTGTAAACTACAGAAGGCTTACAGAGAATATTGTATTGTCTATGATGTGAAAAGCTGAATACAAAATAAATAGGGTTCGGGTTACTCTTGAAGTAAATAATGTGCGTACCTGTTGATGCCCATGGGGTTGAGTCCCAGGCTGCTCTGCGTCATCACCTTGTTGATTCCCTTCAGAGCCACCATCTTTGCCTTCATGATGGGGTCTGAGATCGAGTCGAAGTCTGCAGGAAACACAGAAACACGAAGCCTCAAATTAAAAGCACACGAATGGAGAAAATCACAAATGCCTTAGGGCTTCAGAAACCGACATTTTTTAAAAGAGATGGATGCCTGTAATGCTACTACAATAATGCAGTGTGTAGTATACACTTCATACAATGTGATCAAGGTCAAGTCGCCTAAACTCACCATGTCATCTTGATTCATTTGTTTATCCTTTCCTCCCCTTAAAGGTAGGGTAGGTAAGAATAGAGAAACCAGCTGGAGTGCGCTAGAATTTGAAAGTAGGCAGTAGGGTGGTCTTTAGTGCCATGTACATCAAATTCAAATTCATTTAATTTAAGCTCCAACCCCCAGAATTCATTCTATTAGTCAAGAAAACTCTCCTGGTGTTTTCCTCAATCTGACAGCATGTACCCCCCCCCCCCCTCATCGAGCTGGGCTGCCACACCAGCAGCCACGGTGCTGCAACTGAGGCTACACTTCCAGGTCGATGAGGGGGGGGGGGTACATGCTGTCAGATTGAGGAAAACACCAGGAGAGTTTTCTTGACTAATAGAATGAATTCTGGGGGTTGGAGCTTACACTTTCCCACTTTCAATTTTAAGGACCACCCTAGTACGCAGCCGAGTATCCTAGTATCTGCCCCTTCCTTCAGACTTCCTCACAGAGCCCCTCCTCCAACACACACGAACGCGCACATGACCAATGAGGGCACGAGTAGGCCATCCAGTTATCTGACCCGGGCCGAGGCAGATGATTGGTCGTGCTTTTTACAATATTACGGCTTCCACAGATGACATTTATTTATGGATTTATTGTCAAAGCATTTAATATATTCATTGCTATCGGGATGTTGAGAGCATTCCATGGAATATAACAAGTGTTTCAGAAGTGAATTACCTACCCCACCTTTAATTGTTATTATTTATGACTGAATGTTTTCTTGTTGTTTTCTCTGCTGTATTTAACGTTTTGATCTTGTCAATTATTTCTGAATTGGTTTTGCACGATGACCAGTTTTTTTTTGTGTTCACCTTTTAAGGCAACTTTATTCCCACTTACTGTAAACCACACATTTGACTCTCCTTTATGACATGTATGGACAAAAAGACCTCATTTACACAAAATCATGATCATGAAAAATGATGCTATACATTTGAAGAAACAAATTTGAACGAGTACGTGCTAGAGTTTGGGAAGTATAAGGGGAAACATTTTGAAATGTTGTTTGTTATAAAAGTAAAAGCACACAACATAAGTGATAGCTGTATAAAAAGCAGAGAAAAAAAAAATGTGTATATCTATTTATTTTTGTATGTGGTGCGCTCCTGGTTCTGGTCTTACCTATAGGGGGGGCCCCTGGGTCGTTGGGGCCCCTCTGTCGGATCAGCGCCTGCATCTGTTTCTGCTGCTGCTGCTCCTGGCGCTCCTGATCCAGAAGGTCCTGCAGGAGGAGAGGCTGGTCCTGAAGGAGGAGGTGCCTCTGCTCCAGATCCTGCAACTGGAGCTGGTTCTGGATCTGGTCCGCGATCTGTGTCTCGATCTGGTTCTGGATCTGGATTTGGATCTGGTTTTGGTTCTGGTTCTGGTTCTGGAGGAAGGGGCCCTGGTTCTGGGTGGAGGTGCCCGGGTGAGGGAGCTGGTTCTGGGGGGGGAAGAGAGTCGAGGGAGGGGGTCCAAACGGTCTCTGCTGGAAGACGGGCCGCGGAGCTGAAGCAGGGAAACAAAACGTTTAGATGTAGAAACTGTCGTGTCAAATGTTCATATAATCATTTAAATAATATATGGATTATGTCTTATACTCTGATTGCCTTTTACTCGTAGTATTTTGAATGCTATGTGTTTAACAGAGACATGTGTTTAGGATTTACTTTTCAGGAAGGGCAAAAGGTGGATTAGTAAATGTTTAAGGACTGGAGGGTTTAATGGTGTTTAGATGATCCCTAAGAGGATTTAAGGGCGGGACCAGTTGGATATTTTCTCTCTAATATATAATGTTTCTGTAATCAGCAAAGCCATGTTATCCTCTGAGGATGAAGCTGCTCTGTTCCTGCATTTGAGATCCATTTCTTTATTAAATATAACAAAATAAAAACTTGGTCAAAAATGGTCCATTCATCAGTGTCTCTTAAGAATTTCCTCCACAGAAACAACATTTGGAAATGTGCAAAAAAAAACGTTTCTTTACCTCCAGCCATGGGGGTCTGAACCCTAGGAGCCATGCCCACTGACAGAGCCTGTTCCTGGGTCTGGAAAGCCGGCAGAGACCCTGATCCTGATCCAGATCCACATCCTGTTTCAGTCTGGGCTCCGTCCAGAACTTCCTGTTTCACCTGAGCCAGTTCTGACTTCCTGTCCCCCGCCTCCTCCACCTGTTCTCCCAGGTCCAGCTCCTCGTTGAACATGTCCTTCTTGTCCTCCAGGTTCAGCTCCGGGTCGGCGTAGGCGATCAAGTCGAACTTCCCCGACAGCAGGAAGTCGTCCAGGTGGAGGTCGTTGGTTCCCAGATCCAGGTCCTCTTTACCTGAGAGAGGAGGCAGGAAGTGACCTCATTAGAATTAAAACAGATAGTTTGCAGTGTAGTAAGAAAAGTCAAGAGAATTCAAGAGAACTCAACAGGAATCAACAGGACTCAACAGGACTCAAGAGAACTCGACAGAACTCAACAGGACTCAAGAGAACTCAACAGGAATCAACAGGACTCAAGAGAACTTGACAGAACTCAAGAGAACTCGACAGGACTCAAGAGAACTCAAGAGGACTCAAGAGAACTCGACAGGACTCAAGAGAACTCAAGAGGACTCAACAGGACTCAAGAGAACTCAACAGGACTCAAGAGAACTCAACAGGACTCAAGAGAACTCAACAGGACTCAAGAAAACTCTGGAGAACTCAACAGGACTCAAGAGAACTCAACAGGACTCAAGAAAACTCTGGAGAACTCAACAGGACTCAAGAAGACTCAAGAGAACTCGAGAGAACTCAAGAGGACTCAACAGGACTCAAGAGAACTCAACAGGACTCAAGAGAACTCAACAGGACTCAAGAGAACTCAACAGGACTCAAGAAGACTCAAGAGAACTCGAGAGGACTCAAGAGAACTCAACAGGACTCAAGAGAACTCAACAGGACTCAAGAGAACTCAACAGGACTCAAGAAGACTCAAGAGAACTCGAGAGGACTCAACAGAACTCAAGAGAACTCGAGAGGACTCAAGAGAACACGACAGGACTCAAGAGAACTCGACAGGACTCAAGAGAACTCGACAGGACTCAAGAGAACTCGACAGGACTCAAGAGAACTCGACAGGACTCAATAGGACTCGACAGGACTCAAGAGAACATGACAGGACTCTAGAGAACTCGACAGGACTCAACAGAACTCGACAGGACTCAAGAGAACTCGACAGGACTCAAGAGAACATGACAGGACTCTAGAGAACTGGACAGGACTCAAGAGGACTAAAGAGAACTCAACAGGACTAAAGAGAACATGACAGGACTCAACAGAACTCGACAGGACTCAAGAGAACTCCGGAGAACTTCAGCAGAACACAGAATATGTCAATATAACTCAGCAGAACTTAATAGTTTATAAATATTTACTGTATTCTCATTAAAATAAAAGCGTACCGTCTTCAGGGTCCAGGTTCAGGTTCAGGTCCACCAGGTCTTTCACCTCCACGTCTTCCAGGTCTTTCACAGCCGAGTCCTCCAGGTGTTCCTCCAGGTTCTCCAGGCTCTGTTGATGCTGCTGCTGCTGGTTCAGATGCTCCAGAGTCACCTGCTGGCCCATGGGTCTGAGGGGGGAAGGATGAGGGTCTCTGGGGGGCAGAATATGGGTCTCAGGCTGGGGGAAGTTCAGCCTCAAACGGTGCTCTGGAGCCTGGTGACGCAGCTCGATGTACGGCTGTCCCATGATGCTGTGCTGCTGCAGGGGGAGGGAGCGCGGGAGGAAGGGCTGCTGGACACCTGGGGGGAGGAGGGGGATATCAAATTCAAGGTGTTATCATCAGATGCTCAGCAGCTACAGGGTAGAAATGGCAATGAAATTCTTCTGACCTGAGCTCCTCCAACAATGAGACATATATAATAAAATACCAAATACAAAATAGTACAAAAAGTCTATATGCATGTGAATAGAATATGATATGTACAAGAACAGAATATTAAATTAAATTATGTACATTAAGACAAGATTAAATACGGTTTCTTGCGGTGACTATTTATATAAGTAAGTAGATTGCAAGATGACAAACAGATTAATGTTTCTGGGGGCACTTAACAGAGCTCAGGTGTTTAATAGTCGTATGGCCTGTGGGATGAAACTGTCCCCGAGTCTGGTGGTTTTAGTCCTGAAACTGTCCCCGAGTCTGGTGGTTTTAGTCCTGAAACTGTCCCCGAGTCTGGTGGTTTTAGTCCTGAAACTGTCCCCGAGTCTGGTGGTTTTAGTCCTGAAACTGTCCCCGAGTCTGGTGGTTTTAGTCCTGAAACTGTCCCAGAGTCTGGTGGTTTTAGTCCTGAAACTGTCCCCGAGTCTGGTGGTTTTAGTCCTGAAACTGTCCCCGAGTCTGGTGGTTTTAGTCCTGAAACTGTCCCCGAGTCTGGTGGTTTTAGTCCTGATGCTGTCTCTGAGTCTGGTGGTTTTAGTCCTGAAACTGTCCCTGAGTCTGGTGGTTTTAGTCCTGAAACTGTCCCTGAGTCTGGTGGTTTTAGTCCTGAAACTGTCCCTGAGTCTGGTGGTTTTAGTCCTGAAACTGTCCCCGAGTCTGGTGGTTTTAGTCCTGAAGCTGTCCCCGAGTCTGGTGGTTTTAGTCCTGAAACTGTCCCCGAGTCTGGTGGTTTTAGTCCTGAAGCTGTCCCCGAGTCTGGTGGTTTTAGTCCTGAAACTGTCCCCGAGTCTGGTGGTTTTAGTCCTGATGCTGTCTCTGAGTCTGGTGGTTTTAGTCCTGAAACTGTCCCTGAGTCTGGTGGTTTTAGTCCTGATGCTGTCTCTGAGTCTGGTGGTTTTAGTCCTGAAACTGTCCCCGAGTCTGGTGGTTTTAGTCCTGATGCTGTCTCTGAGTCTGGTGGTTTTAGTCCTGAAACTGTCCCCGAGTCTGGTGGTTTTAGTCCTGAAACTGTCCCAGAGTCTGGTGGTTTTAGTCCTGATGCTGTCCCCGAGTCTGGTGGTTTTAGTCCTGAAACTGTCCCTGAGTCTGGTCGTTTTAGTCCTGATGCTGTCTCTGAGTCTGGTGGTTTTAGTCCTGAAACTGTCCCTGAGTCTGGTGGTTTTAGTCCTGATGCTGTCTCTGAGTCTGGTGGTTTTAGTTCTGAAACTGTCCCTGAGTCTGGTGGTTTCAGTCCTGATGCTGTCCCTGAGTCTGGTGGTTTTAGTCCTGAAACTGTCCCCGAGTCTGGTGGTTTTAGTCCTGAAACTGTCCCAGAGTCTGGTGGTTTTAGTCCTGATGCTGTCCCTGAGTCTGGTGGTTTTAGTCCTGAAACTGTCCTTGAGTCTGGTGGTTTTAGTCCTGAAACTGTCCCTGAGTCTGGTGGTTTTAGTCCTGAAACTGTCTCCGAGTCTGGTGGTTTTAGTCCTGAAACTGTCCCCGAGTCTGGTGGTTTTAGTCCTGAAACTGTCCCTGAGTCTGGTGGTTTTAGTCCTGAAACTGTCCCTGAGTCTGGTTGTTTTAGTCCTGAAACTGTCCCTGAGTCTGGTGGTTTTAGTCCTGAAACTGTCCCTGAGTCTGGTGGTTTTAGTCCTGAAACTGTCCCCGAGTCTGGTGGTTTTAGTCCTGAAACTGTCCCTGAGTCTGGTGGTTTTAGTCCTGAAACTGTCTCTGAGTCTGGTTGTTTTAGTCCTGAAACTGTCCCTGAGTCTGCTGGTTTTAGTCCTGAAACTGTCCCTGAGTCTGGTGGTTTTAGTCCTGAAACTGTCCCTAAGTCTGGTGGTTTTAGTCCTGATGCTGTCCCCGAGTCTGGTGGTTTTAGTCCTGAAACTGTCCCCGAGTCTGATGGTTTTAGTCCTGAAACTGTCCTTGAGTCTGGTGGTTTTAGTCCTGAAACTGTCCCTAAGTCTGCTGGTTTTAGTCCTGAAACTGTCCCTGAGTCTGGTGGTTTTAGTCCTGAAACTGTCCCTAAGTCTGGTGGTTTTAGTCCTGATGCTGTCCCCGAGTCTGGTGGTTTTAGTCCTGAAACTGTCCCTGAGTCTGGTGGTTTTAGTCCTGAAACTGTCCCTGAGTCTGGTGGTTTTAGTCCTGAAACTGTCCCCGAGTCTGGTGGTTTTAGTCCTGAAACTGTCTCCGAGTCTGGTGGTTTTAGTCCTGAAACTGTCCCTGAGTCTGATGGTTTTAGTCCTGAAACTGTCCTTGAGTCTGGTGGTTTTAGTCCTGAAACTGTCCCTAAGTCTGCTGGTTTTAGTCCTGAAACTGTCCCTGAGTCTGGTGGTTTTAGTCCTGAAACTGTCCCTAAGTCTGGTGGTTTTAGTCCTGATGCTGTCCCCGAGTCTGGTGGTTTTAGTCCTGAAACTGTCCCTGAGTCTGGTGGTTTTAGTCCTGAAACTGTCCCTGAGTCTGGTGGTTTTAGTCCTGATGCTGTCCCTGAGTCTGGTGGTTTTAGTCCTGAAACTGTCCCTGAGTCTGGTGGTTTTAGTCCTGATGCTGTCCCTGAGTCTGGTGGTTTTAGTCCTGAAACTGTCCCTGAGTCTGGTGGTTTTAGTCCTGAAACTGTCCCTGAGTCTGGTGGTTTTAGTCCTGAAACTGTCCCTGAATCTGGTGGTTTTAGTCCTGATTCTGCGGTACCGCCTGCCAGACGGCATGGGGGTCTTTTATAATCCTGAGGGCTTTCTTGCTGAGCCGCTGGGTGTAAAGGTCCTCCATGGATGGACTTTAATCAGTGAATATGATAATAAGACGGCCTTATAGTTCGTAATTTTTATTCTGTTAATTGATTAATTGCTGCATTATACTGTCGGTTACCTTGCATCATGTGAGGGTGAGCTCCAGGAGCAGGGAGGGGCCGGATCCCGGTGTAATCCCCCGGCATCGGCCTCCTCATCTGGGCCGGGACTCCCTCCATCAGGCCGAGCCCAGAGACAGGCACTGATCCCTGGGGAAGACGCAGGAAGGAGTCCTGGAGCCCTGCTGGAGCTCCTTGAGGAACGCCAAACCTGGAGGAGAGAGAGGAGGCGTTAGAGAACCAGAACGATACTGTAGGGACAATCCTGAACGTCCTCTTCCAACATGAGAGTCACATGATAACAAAGGTATCCCAACTGTAGCTGTGAACATGACAGGATGTATGATTACCTAGAAGAGCATCAGGACTGTTTGAGGCATATGATAGCTATGTGATTAACATGATGATTCAGCCTCTATGGAGATAGACATATGACAAGCATGCTCATTTCTGACGTGGAGCTAATCTGAAGTAAACATTGAATACTGCTTTCTATTCCTCCATCTTGTGACTGTGTAACTCCCTCTCTTGGATATCAGCATGTGAAGGACACTGTTCAGGAACTAGTTGATGCTCTGTATGTGATGACTCCTTCCATTCTGGAGAGGACCACAGATACATGGATCCTGAGATTGAAGCTCAAGCCGGGGACCAGGGATTATTGACATTTAAGTATTCAGAAAGAGTCAGAATTTCGAGATTTTGTGAAAAATTGCGAATTTTGAGAAAAAGTCAGGATTTTGAGAAAAAGTCAGGATTTTGAGAAAAAGTCAGGATTTTGAGAAAGAGTCAGGATTTTTCTGAAAAAATCCAACAAATGCTCTGTATGTGATGACTACTTCCATTCTGGAGAGGATCAGGAATACATGGATCCTGAGATTGAAGCTCAAGCCGGTGACGAGTGATTATTAAAAATATTAAGTATTCAGAAAAGTAATAATTTTTAGATTTTGAGAAAAAGTCAGAATTTTTAGATTTTTGAGAAAAAGTCATAATTTTGAGAAAAAAAGTCAGAATTTTGCGATTTTCTGAAAAAAGCCAACAAATGCTCAGTATGTGATGACTACTTCCATTCTTGAGAGGATAATAAATACATGGATCCTGAGATTGAAGCTAAAGCCATTGACCAGGGAGATTTTTCTAACACACCTCATGACCGGGCCTCGGACCCCCATCTCTCTGGGGGTGAAGCCCCTCTGCTGCTCCACAGGGAACCCTCCAGGGAACCGGGGAACCTGAGCTGGTCCAACGGGCCTCATGGTGCCGGGGTAAGGAGGCGGGGGCCTTCCAAACATCTCTGCAGGAGGGTTAGCTGAGGGGTCCGGCTGGGGCCAGAGACGTGGTGCAGCAGAACCAGAAGGGGGTCCGGGGAGAACAGCAGAACCAGCTTCCTGCAGACCTTTCTCCTGACGCAGAGCACTCTTCTGCTGCTGCTGCCTCAGGATCAGCTGCCGGAGACGCTGACGCTGAGAAACAGAACATATAGAACATGAGAACACTCAGGAGAAGTTAAGATAACTCGAGAGAAGTCAGGAGAACATAGGAGTAGTCAAGAGAACTCAAGAGAACTCAAGAGAAGTCAGGAGAACTCAGGAAAAGTCAAGAGAACTCAGGAGAACTCAAGAGAAGTCAGGAGAACTCAAGAGAACTCAAGAGAACTCAAGAGAACTCAAGAGAAGTCAGGAGAACTCAAGAGAACTCAAGAGAACTCAGGAGAACTCAAGAGAAATTAGGAGAACTCAAGATACGTCAAGGGAAGTCAGGAGAACTCAGGGGAACTCAGGAGAACACTAGAGAACTCAGTAAATCTCAGTAGAACTCAATAGAACACTAGAGAACTCAGTAAAACTCAGTAGAACACTAGAGCTCAGTAGAACTAAAAATAAACACTAGAGAACCCAGTAGAACTCAGTAGAACACTAGAGAACTCAGTAGAACTCAGTAGAACTCAGTAGAACACTGTAGAACTCAGTAGAACACTAGAGAACTCAGTAGAACTCAGTAGAACACTAGAGAACTCAGTAGAACACTAGAGAACCCAGTAGAACTCAGTAGAACACTAGAGAACTTAGTAGAACTCAGTAGAACTCAGTAGAACTCAGTAGAACACTAGAGAACTCAGTAGAACACTAGAGAACTCAGTAGAACTCAGTAGAACACTAGAGAACTCAGTAGAACTCAGTACAACTCAGTAGAACACTAGAGAACTCAGTAGAACTCAGTAGAACTCAGTAGAACACTAGAGAACTCAGCAGAACTCAGTAGAACTCAGTAGAACACTAGAGAACTCAGTAGAACTCAGTAGAACACTAGAGAACTCAGTAGAACACTAGAGAACCCAGTAGAACTCAGTAGAACACTAGAGAACTCAGTAGAACTCAGTAGAACTCAGTAGAACACTAGAGAACTCAGTAGAACTCAGTAGAACACTAGAGAACTCAGTAGAACTCAGTAGAACACTAGAGAACTCAGTAGAACTCAGTAGAACACTAGAGAACTCAGTAGAACACTAGAGAACTCAGTAGAACTCAGTAGAACACTAGAGAACTCAGTAGAACACTAGAGAACTCAGTAGAACTCAGTAGAACACTAGAGAACTCAGTAGAACTCAGTAGAACACTAGAGAACTCAGTAGAACTCAGTAGAACACTAGAGAACTCAGTAGAACACTAGAGAACTCAGTAGAACACTAGAGAACTCAGTAGAACACTAGAGAACTCAGTAGAACTCAGTAGAACACTAGAGAACTCAGTAGAACTCAGTAGAACACTAGAGAACTCAGTAGAACACTAGAGAACTCAGTAGAACTCAGTAGAACACTAGAGAACTCAGTAGAACTCAGTAGAACACTAGAGAACCCAGTAGAACTCAGTAGAACACTAGAGAACCCAGTAGAACACTAGAGAACTCAGTAGAACTCAGTAGAACACTAGAGCACTCAGTAGAACACTAGAGAACTCAGTAGAACCCAGTAGAACACTAGAGAACTCAGTAGAACACTAGAGAACTCAGTAGAACTCAGTAGAACACTAGAGAACTCAGTAGAACACTAGAGAACTCAGTAGAACTCAGTAGAACACTAGAGAACTCAGTAGAACACTAGAGAACTCAGTAGAACTCAGTAGAACACTAGAGAACCCAGTAGAACTCAGTAGAACACTAGAGAACCCAGTAGAACACTAGAGAACTCAGTAGAACTCAGTAGAACACTAGAGCACTCAGTAGAACACTAGAGAACTCAGTAGAACACTAGAGAACTCAGTAGAACTCAGTAGAACACTAGAGCACTCAGTAGAACACTAGAGAACTCAGTAGAACACTAGAGAACTCAGTAGAACACTAGAGAACCCAGTAGAACACTAGAGAACCCAGTAGAACACTAGCGAACCCAGTATAACTCAGTAGAACACTAGAGAACCCAGTATAACTCAGTAGAACACTAGAGAACCCAGTAGAACTCAGTAGAACACTAGAGAACCCAGTAGAACTCCGATGAATAACGTTATTATTTGGTCCTACCTGTCTGAGCTTCTCCTCGGAGTCCCCGAGCTGAGGCAGCATGCTCATTGGTCCGTCTAAGGAGGCCCCGCCCAGCACTGCCATCTCATTGGCTGTCGTCTTGTCTGTCTGTGAGGGGCCTGGTGTCATGTGACCCTGCTGCTCGAACGGGTCGTGAACCGGAGTCTGACCGCCGTGGTACCCGCTCTCCTCCGACATCCCAGGGTGCTTTGGGGTCTGGCTGCCCCCGGGGGTTCTGGGAAATGAGTCCTGATGCTGTTGTAGTCTTCCTGGAGACTGCTGCAACTGAAGAGAGGAAAACAGGAGGTATTATTGAAGATAGCTTTAATAACAGTGGATAAAAGCACCACAAGGGCCCCGTTCATCCCTCTGGGGCCACAGACTCCTGACGTCTGAATGTGGTTTCTACAAAGTCACAATGTATGATTTTGACACCAAGATGATTTATATTGGGAAAGAAAAAGTGAATTTATGGCAAAAGATATATTTTTCTTGTTTCCACCTTTTGAAAAGGTCAGTTAACTTATTCAGTTATCTGGAGCACTAATGATGACTGACCAGAGATGTGAAAGTACACACATCCTTCACTCAGGTAGAAGTACAGATACTCGTGTTTAAAAATACTCTGGTGAAAGTAGAAGTACTGACTAAACTTCTTTACTCAAGTCAAAGTAAAGAGGCTTTGAAATGTACTTCAGTAAAAAGTACCCATAACTAGCAGCTGTTTTAAAGAGTACCTGACCTCCCTTTATATTAATAGAACAATAATGTCATTGTTAGCTAATGAATGTTTCCATGCTGAACAACGGCAACATGACAACGTTTTCATTGGTCCCTCTTCTTTAGAGAAGACCAGGAAATGATGGATACACGGATCGTGTTCAAATCAATAGGCACGCAATGACTCTAAATAATAATGATCACGCCACCAAACACACATTCAAACTAAAGGAACCAGCCTGTTTGGAAAATGTGAGAAGTAGAAAGTACAGGTATTTGAGTTCAACATGTAAGAAGTAGAAAGTACAGGTGTTTGTGTTCAACATGTAAGAAGTAGAAAGTACAGGTATTTGTGTTCAACATGTAAGAAGTAGAAAGTACAGGTATTTGTGTTCAACATGTAAGAAGTAGAAAGTACAGGTATTTGGGTTCAACATGTAAGAAGTAGAAAGTACAGGTATTTGTGTTCAACATGTAAGAAGTAGAAAGTACAGGTATTTGTGTTCAACATGTGAGAAGTAGAAAGTACAGGTATTTGTGTTCAACATGTGAGAAGTAGAAAGTACAGGTATTTGGGTTCAACATGTGAGAAGTAGAAAGTACAGGTATTTGTGTTCAACATGTAAGAAGTAGAAAGTACAGGTATTTGAGTTCAACATGTAAGAAGTAGAAAGTACAGGTATTTGGGTTCAACATGTAAGAAGTAGAAAGTACAGGTATTTGGGTTCAACATGTAAGAAGTAGAAAGTACAGGTATTTGAGTTCAACATGTGAGAAGTAGAAAGTACAGGTATTTGTGTTCAACATGTAAGAAGTAGAAAGTACAGGTATTTGAGTTCAACATGTGAGAAGTAGAAAGTACAGGTATTTGTGTTCAACATGTAAGAAGTAGAAAGTACAGGTATTTGTGTTCAACATGTAAGAAGTAGAAAGTACAGGTATTTGGGTTCAACATGTAAGAAGTAGAAAGTACAGGTATTTGTTACCTGGTGGTGTTGTGGGGTGAAGGTCTCAGAGAGTCCTAGTCCCTCCCCAGTGGAGGGTCTCGGGGTGGAGGGCTGCTGGTTGTAGGGGTCGTTGTTGCGCTGTCCTCCTGGGGATCGAGGGAATGGGCGAGGGGTCCCGGGGTTTGAGGCGTAGGGGTCCAGGTTCTGATGGGAGGGGGACGGCCTCCTACTGGTGGACTGCTGGTTGTACTGCGACAGGTATGCTGGGTCAGAATGTGGACGGGCGGTCCCGGGGGAAAGCTGGGAAAAGGGGTCTGGGATCTGTTGGGCGTAGGGGCTCCGATGAGGGGAACCAAGTCCTGATAGTGGACTGGAAGGGAAGTCAAAACCCAGATCTGTGGGTCTACGAACTCCTCCTGGGGGGCCAAAGGACTCCTGAGGGGGCATCGGGGCTTTAAACAAACCGCCCTGGACCAGTTCACCCCCACGATTGTACAGTTCAGACCCCCCAACACGGAGGGTACTGGGAGGAGGCCTCTGGTACTCTGAGCCTCGCATGGAGACCAGACCTGATGGGGCTGAGCCTGAGGGAGGGCTCATCATAACGGAGCGAGCCTGCTGCAGACCTGAGGGGAGAAAACAAGAGGGGAGGGTTACTGGGAGGAGATAACGAGGAGGAGACAGTTACTGGGAGGAGATAACGAGGAGGAGACAGTTACTGGGAGATAACGAGGAGGAGACGGTTACTAGGAGGAGATAACGAGGAGGAGACAGTTACTGGGAGGAGATAACGAGGAGGAGACAGTTACTGGGAGGAGATAACGAGGAGGAGACAGTTACTGGGAGGAGATAACGAGGAGGAGACAGTTACTGGGAGGAGATAACGAGGAGGGAGACAGTTACTGGGAGGAGATAACGAGGAGGAGACAGTTACTGGGAGGAGATAACGAGGAGGAGACAGTTACTGGGAGGAGATAACGAGGAGGAGACAGTTACTGGGAGGAGATAACGAGGAGGAGACAGTTACTGGGGAGATAACGAGGAGGAGACAGTTACTGGGAGGAGATAACGAGGAGGAGACAGTTACTAGGAGGAGATAACGGGAGGAGACAGTTACTGGGAGGATAAACGAGGAGGAGAAGGTTACTGGAGGAGATAACGAGGAGGAGACGGTTACTGGGAGGAGATAACGGGAGGAACGGTTACTAGGAGGATAATACGAGGAGGAGACAGTTACTAGGAGATAACGAGGAGGACGTTACTAGGAGGAGATAACGAGGAGGAGACGGTTACTAGAGGATAAAACGAGAGGAGACAGTTACTAGGAGATAACGAGGAGGAGACGGTTACTAGGAGGAGATAACAAGGAGGAGACAGTTACTAGGAGGAGATAACGAGGAGGAGACGGTTACTAGGAGGAGATAACGAGGAGGAGGTTACTAGGAGGAGATAACGAGGAGGAGACGGTTACTAGGAGGAGATAACGAGGAGGAGACGGTTACTAGGAGGAGATAACGAGGAGGAGACGGTTACTAGGAGGAGATAACGAGGAGGAGACGGTTACTAGGAGGAGATAACGAGGAGGAGACGGTTACTAGGAGGAGATAACGAGGAGGAGACGGTTACTAGGAGGAGATAACGAGGAGGAGACGTTACTAGGAGGAGATACGAGGATAGACAGTTACTAGGAGGAGATAACGAGGAGGAGACAGTTACTAGGAGGAGATAACGAGGAGGAGACAGTTACTAGGAGGAGATAACGAGGAGGAGACGGTTACTGGGAGGAGATAACGAGGAGGAGACGGTTACTAGGAGGAGATAACGAGGAGGAGACAGTTACTAGGAGGAGATAACGAGGAGGAGACGGTTACTAGGAGGAGATAACAAGGAGGAGACGGTTACTAGGAGGAGATAACGAGGAGGAGACGGTTACTAGGAGGAGATAACAAGGAGGAGACGGTTACTAGGAGGAGATAACGAGGAGGAGACAGTTACTAGGAGGAGATAACGAGGAGGAGACGGTTAGGAGGAGATAACGAGGAGGAGACGGTTACTAGGAGGAGATAACGAGGAGGAGACGGTTACTAGGAGGAGATAACGAGGAGGAGACGGTTACTAGGAGGAGATAACGAGGAGGAGACAGTTACTAGGAGGAGATAACGAGGAGGAGACAGTTACTAGGAGGAGATAACGAGAAAAGACATATTTGGATTTACCTTGTAGGTTTCCCAGGTTCCTGTCGGGGGTCTTGGAGTCGGGGAGGGTGCGGGGGAGCCGAAGGCGTCGTGGGCGGGCGAGGCTCCTCCCAGGGAGTTGTGGCGCTGCAGGGGGGGGGCCTGGTTACTCTGGGAGGGGGGGGCGGGGCGAGGCGTGCCCCCCATCTTACTGTAGGGGTCCCAGGGGGAGGAGGGGCGGGACGACGGTGGAGAGAACATCTGAGGGGAGGATGGTGGTTGGTGGAGAGGGGAGGAAGGGAGGGGCGAATGGGGGAGGGAAGAGAAACCGGATGGGGGCGGGGCTTGTGGGCGGAGGAACACGTCGTCATGGTGTCTGGACGGAGGGTGATCCGAGGGGGAGTTGCTGCCAGCATCAGGGGAGACGGGGGGCAAGAGGTTCTGCTGACGGAGCTGCTCACTCTTCACCTGCTCCAGCTTTATGGTCGCCTCGATTTTCGCCTGTTGTTTACTCTTCTGACGCATTACCTGAAAGGGGGGAGACAGGGGGGAGACGGGGGGGAGAGAGGTGAGAAAGTGGGAGGTAACACAGGGGGAGGTAAACGTGATGATGGGGCAGCTCACTGTCCCTCCCTCTTTATATCATCATGAGTTGTAAGCCATGCTATTTGAGGAATGGAAAGAGGCCACGCCCATCTGTTCCTTCACCAGCAGCTGTTTCCTCAGAGAGAGGCGAGGTCCCTCCCTTTATTTAGGAAAAAGTTTGTATTGAAGTCAATGGAGAGAGAAAGATTATCTTTGGATCCCGTTTGAATTGAGCCACGAATTACACATATGATGTTTGTCAATTTAAAAGATCATTTTTCAAGTCAAAAAAATAAAACTGTGAAGTAACACTTTTGTGTGTGAAAGCGCTCAATGAACTCCATCTCCCGTCTCGCACCACACACCCAGACGGCCGTCACGTTGGCACATTTCACTTCTTTCTTTCAGAATGAGGCGGAAAGTATTAAAAGAGGTGAAAATCACTCCAAGTCTGGGCATGTTGAGAGCTGTACATACACACAAGGGGAGTTAGTCGGTTCCTAAGAGCCAGCATGCGGGACCGGGACTCTGGGATTTGTAGTCTTTCTAGTTGCGTATTTTTCATAGTCTTATATTTCAACAGTTTTACGACAAACTGTGACTTTTTTGACATGGAAATTATTATTTAAGATTGACAAACATCATATGTGTAATTCATGGCTCAATTCAAACGGGATCCAGAGATAATCTTTCTCTCTCCATTGACTTCAATGCAAACTTTTTCCGAAATAAGGTCCCATGGGTCGGACGTAGATGGGCGGGGCTTCGCCTCTCTATTGGCGTGTGTGCTAGCTGCTAAATAACTTTCAAGGCTTTTATTGTCATTTGTCAAATAAGGTCATGAAATCTGGGATCATGTAAAGTTTGAGGAGACAGAGGATGCAACATATATGACTGTATGAGGTCAGAACATGTCTGCTGTCTGAAGTGTTTATAACCTGTGAGATATTCTTACTCTATAGGCATTAGACTATAGACAGCTTTGGTGCAAGGTAACGTGTCTCTATGATATTTAACTTCAACCATCTCTGTGTTTTACCGATTAATCTTGTGAGTGTTACATCGGATCCACGACAGACACTTGTCCTCCCTGCTTTGATAAGGCAGCAAACCTTCAGAATAAAATCAGTCGCTGTGAGGCCGCTGACATGCTTTGGTTTTCCCCAAATACATGCAAACCAGAGGAGATACCCTCGGTCCAGCTGAGTGGCAAAGCTCCCACTCCCTTAAGCTTGAGGAGCGACAGGGTTTATGAAAGCGCTGGAGAAACCAGTTCTGATTGAAGGAGGACCAGATCACATTTTGAACCTAAAGAATGAACTCTCTGCAGCCAGTCTCTCCATCTTATCCTAGTTTAGTTTTGGTGTTGAAATGATTAATTCTTAGGGCTGAAAACATTGGTAAAAATATCACATTTCAGTCACTTTTGGCCATTCAGACTGATTCAGACTGATCTCATAATAACTCACGGTAATGACTGCTAATGCTAATTTAAATACATGTGTGCATATGTATAAATGTGTCTGTTGATTGTGTATATATAGGTGTATACATATTGTTGTGGGAAACGGTATTTCCATCCCTCTGTCTGTACACACAAACTGAAAGGTTCTGCAGCGGATAAGTGTGCACAAAAGTGTGAAAAGAGAAGTGTTAGCTCGTTAGATAGCAACATCACGGCTAACTGAAGGTGGACAGATCTTAAAGGGTTTCTTTAAACATAGAACATGTAAAGCAGTGGTCCAGCGTCTGGGATCCAGAGAGAGTGCAGTGTGAGGGAGGGTCTCTGCCTGTGTTGGTTCTTACCAGAGCCTCTGGTCCTGCTACAGGTGCCTGGTAGGGACAATCTTTATCTGATGGTGATTTTAGGGCTTTGGCTCCCCCTCTGTCTTTACCCTCTCCCTTTTTCAATGACAGTCACAGCACAGGGATTAGTGGAAGGCAATGACACAATGGCGTAAAATGATCGAAACCCCCCAGACATGCAGCATGGAGGTTACCATGGTTACAATCAGAGCGGGGGGGGGGGGGGGGGAACCAGCACCGTAACTGCAGCCGTGAATTCTACTTCCTGTACGATGATTTACTCCATTCATCAAACTACTGCAGGGTATGTTTGCATATAGGTGTATGTGTACGTACATGTTTGAATATATATGTATGTGTGTATGTGCTTGTATATATATATATGTGTGTGCGTGTGTGTGTGTGTGTGTGTCTGTGTGTGTGTGTGTTTAAGTAGATACATCTGTACATGTGTAGATATTTGTCATTTCAAACAACCTCTATGTACTTTTTCATTTTACCAATTGTAAAACTGTACTTTTTATTTTATTGTATTTCCTTTGTGTCACTACTGTAAAGTGTCTTAAATTAAATTAAATCTATTATTATTATTTTAATATAATGTGACCCCAAATAAATAAAATAAAAAACTACTGCAGGAAGTGGGATCTTTAAATTGAGCGTTCTGATTGGCTGCAGTCTGGTGCTGCCCCTCCCCCCCCCCCCCTCTCTCTCTCTACCTGATGCAGGTGATGTTAAGCACTCACCTGTCTGAACTTCCACTCTTGTTCCTGCTCCGTTTCCCGGGGTCTCAGAGGGTCCCTGAACGCATCGGAGTCCCTGAACCCATCGGAGTCCCTGAATCCCTCAGAGTCCCTGAACGCATCGTCTGAGTCCCTGAAGGCATCACAGTCCATGGAGTCGGGGTCAAAAGGTCCCGGGGTCAACGCTGATGGTGGTGGTAGAGGGGGGAGGGGCTGTGGGATGAGGGGCCGTTTGATTGGCTCGTTGCACACTTGCACCTTGTTGATTCGCTGAGCCGCTCTGTTGTCTCGAGCCTTTTGCTGCACAGAGGAAACAGAGAGGGGGGGTTAAAGAGACGCTGTTTGGTCCCAACGGCAAAACATGAAAAGGCTCTTATTTTGAAAAACCTTGATCTGATGTCCTAAAAAAGGGGTGTCAAACTAAAGGCCCGTGACCCCATTTTGTGTGGCCCCGCAAGAGCTCGCAAAGAATATAATATACAATACAGTTGGTGTAATTGTTGAATATTTGCTTCCAATTATTTGCCCTAGACTTCTGCTTTCAGTCATTACCAGAACTGATGACTCAATGCAGAGCCAATCATGTGATGGAATACATTATTACATGGCTTAGTTGAATACTCGATTCTGATTGGCCAATTCAGAACACGTGACACGTTGTTAATCCAGAACAGACAGACCGCTGTCAAGGACTTATTGACCGTTGTTAAGGACTTATTGACCGTTGTTAAGCACTTATTGACCGTTGTTAAGGACGCTCACATCTGCAGAAAGAAGTCCGGTCGATTGAACTGTATGCAGTTTGGAACTGGGCCAAGAAAACAGCGGAGAAGTAACGGGGCAGAAACCCTCCTTCTAGATACTTCCCAAGGTCTGACTTCATGAGTTGAGCTACTTTTAAAGCAAGCAGCGATGTTTTCAAATCTGTAATCACAAAGCTCCGCAAAAACGCCATCGAAGCAGTTCCTGCCGCGTTGCTACGTAGTTCAAACGGTAACAACGGACTATTTTCTTAGCGGATGCACGTCATTTAAATAAATAATAGCCTACTATTTTTGAAATCTATAAAAGCATTTCAATTCATATTGGGAGTCATGTCGTTACTTTGCTTCGCGTCGGGCTCTCTGATCCTCCTGTTACCCATAGCGACCGCCTCGCTGCACATTATCCCTTACTCACCGTATATATATTATATATTTAAATAAGTATATTTATAGAGTCTTAAAGTTACAACCGGCGCTTTGAGTGCAGCCTTAAAGCTGACTGACTCCCCTGAGAGACGAAAATGTCATAAAAACCCACAAAATACAACATTTAGGGATTTCTTTTTAACATCCACTGAGGATAATGTCCTTAACTGATTATAACTCACACATATTTATTTTTTTAAAGTTTTTACTCTTTACATGTTTGTTTACGTGACGTCAATGTTGGTTTTTGGGGAAAAAAAGACAACATTTTAATTGTTTTCTACTTAATAAATGCTAGTAGTAGTTTATCTAATTCCATTAAAACAGAACATCCGGGTGGTAATATTTAAAAACCGGATATTGTATTTTTATTCTTCTTTGCAGTATATCACGCAGAGCCAGGACTTTCCAGCTTACATTTGGCACATTTTGAATTAAAATGCTTAATTTTGGTGCAAATGAAGAGTCTAGATCAGGGCTGAACACACTAGATGTTCTTTGGCTGCGGATAACTAAATACATCTTGCTCATACTGTAATACAGAATGATGTGACTTTGAGTTTTAATAAACACTCACCACGAAGGGAGCTCTGTCCTGAGAGCTGGCTTTCCTCCACAGCTTAGCGATCTGCTTCACTCGGGTCGACCAGTCTGAGAGACACACACACACACACACACACACAATAAACATACAGTAGTGTAACGGCAGGCGTGTGGCGCAGTGAATAGTGCGTTGGTGTTGGGATCAAGGGAGCTCAGGTTCAAACCCCACTGCAGTCAGCATGTCGTTGTGTCCCTGAGACACTTCACTCCAAAGTGCTCCTGTGGGGATTGTCCACAGTATTGAGTCTGTAAGTCGCTTTGGATAAAAGCGTCTAACATGTGACATGTAATGTGGTTGTCTGTGTGTGTGTGTGTGTGTGTGTGTGTGTGTGTGTGTGTGTGTGTGTGTGTGTGTGTGTGTACCGGGGTGCTCCTCCTTCATTTGGGGGAACTTGGTGTTGCAGTAGAGGACAGGAGCGACGGTGGCCATTTCTCCCAGCTCCTCCTCCTTCTCCCACTTCAACATTCCTCTCTGAGCCGTCGACATCACTTCCGGCTCGCCCTCTGCTCCCCGATTGGACGGAGACGGGGACGGGGAGGGGGCGGGGCTCTCAGGAGGAGGCATTCTATAGGCCGCCGGACTCTGGCTGCTTTGGAAGAGAGGAGAGGCGACTCCCATGAGGCCGTTCACCATCGGGAGGCGAGGAAACACTGATGAGAGACGGGGTTATAATTATTTATTTCTGTTGGGAAAATCCTGAACGTCCTCTTCCAACATGAGAGTAACATGCTAACAAAGGTATCCCAACTGTAGCTGTGAACATGACAGGATGTATGATTACCTAGAAGAGCATCAGGACTGTTTGAGGCATATGATAGCTATGTGATGAACATGATGATTCAGCCTCTATGGAGATAGACATCAAGCATGCTCATTTCTGACGTGGAGCTAATCTGAAGTAAACATTGAATACTGCTTTCTATTCCTCCATCTTGTGACTGTGTAACTCCCTCTCTTGGATATCAGCATGTGAAGGACACTGTTCAGGAACTAGTTGATGCTCTGTATGTGATGACTACTTCCATTCTGGAGAGGATCACAGATACATGGATCCTGAGATTGAAGATCAAGCCGGGGACCAGGGAGAGTTTTCTAACATAATGTGTGTGTGTGTGTGTGTGTGTGTGTGTGTGTGTGTGTGTGTGTACCTGCGTGGTGTGTGTGTGTGTGTATACCTGCGTGGTGTGTGTGTGTCTTGCTCCCAGCAGCAGAGTGTGTGTGTTCCTGTTGTTGGTTGTTGCTGCGATTTGGACTGAGGACGGCCGTGAACACGTCCTCCACGTCTTTCCCCTCCAGCTCTAAAACACACACACACATATAAATCAGTACAATGAACATTTAAAATTCAACACAAAACATTTCATCAATCCTAGTGCAGGTTTTTCACAATAAAAGCCTTCCAATAACAGGAGTTGGAAAGTCTTTTAATGTGAAAAATCAGCTGAAAA